TTTTTTTTTTTTTTTTTGTTTCATTTCTTGCCCTCTCAATCCGACTCTTTTGTTCTCCAAATTGAGTTCCTGCTCACATTTGTTATCTTTTACCCCTTGCTACAAAAATTATTTTCCTTCTAGAATTCAATTGTTTTCATTTTTTTTATAGGACAAAATTTACGTGGATAACATAGAGACTAGTGCCGCTGCCTTGAAGAAGCTTTCTGATGAGTGGAAGACGTTTTCTTCCAAGCAGTCTTCACCCCAAGCACTTGCTGAGACCCTCAAGAGTTTTAGGCAAAAGGTTAGTTGTACATTTGATTATTCTTGTTCAGGTAGTTTCTCTTGTGGCTTTTATTTTTCTGATTCATTTGCCACGTTTTCTGTATACTCAGAATGCACAAGCATTGAGTGGCGGAGGAGCAGATGTTGCCCGCCAAGGTTACTTTAGGGATGCAGATAAATACTGTAAGACGATACTGGGAAAATTATCAAGCAGTCACGGCTGCTTCAAAACGGTTGCATTTACTATAGTGGTGCTGGCTGTGGGGGCTGCAGTTGTGTCGCCAAATCTGGATGCACTGGACTGGAATAACTTGTCTGCTTTTCTCAATGCCCAACTTTCCATATGAGATTAAGAGAACTGCGGCAGATCCACAACTTTTTTTTTTTTTTTTTTTTTTTTAAATCTTTGTTCGGCTTTTGTCACTAAAAACTAACTACAGTTTGCTTAAAATAAAGTGGTACACACGGAAGAGCTCTAGGCCATTGTGTAATAGCAACTGGTGTTGGATAATTTTATCTTTTTTCTTTTTCCCCTTTTCAAAGGAAAAAGGTATTAGAAAGTATGAGAATTTTGGATTATTGCGGTTAATCTTCGTAAAATGTATTTCATGTTGGCTTGTTGCAGTTCGATGATGTTCTCTTTTGTTTAAGAATAGTTGAATTAGAGAAGATATTATGGGGAGAAATCTCCATTTTTCATTTCTAATTAAACTCGGAAAAATTACATGCAAATGAACGTGCTATGAATATTTATACCTAAACATGCACAACACGACGCCGTATTGAACTAATGTCTAGTGATTAACAGAAAACGGCGTCGTACTGCAGCTAACTAGAACTAAAGAAGAAAACGACTTTATAAAAAAACAAATGCGACATGAAAGAAGACTTTATAAGCTAGCCACCATACTCCAACAGCCCCCCTCGAGGTAGGCGTGGAAAAGACATGCCTAACATGGATAGCAAGAGGCACGACTGCTTCCTTGGTAAGATCTTAGTGATCGGCCAGCTGAAGCCGAGAGGCCAAATACAGAGGCAAAACAAAGCCAGATTTGAACTTGTCACGAACAAAATGGCAGTCGATCTCAAGATGTTTCGTACGTTCATGAAAGACGGGATTTGCAGAAATATGAAGGGGTCGCTTTGTTGTCACACCAGAGTGGTATAGGTGTTAGAACCTTGACATGAAGGTCAACCAAAATGTATGTGATCCAAAGTAACTCAGAAACTTCCACTCATTACACGATATTCAGCTTCGGCGGAGGACTTAGACATTGTAGGTTGTTTTTTAGTTTTCCAAGAAACAAGGCAGCCACCCAGTAAAATACAATAGCTAGTGAGGGACCTTCTAGAGTGTTTGTAAGAAGCTCAGTCGGCATCACAGGAGGCAGTGAGCTCAAAACAGCTACCCTTTGGGAAGAAAAGGCTGCAGTCTGTTGTCCCTTTGAGGTATTTAAGAACATGCATGGCTGCTTCCCAATGGGAAGTATGAGGAGCAGTTTGTGTGGCTAAGCTGTTGTACGACATAGGTTATACAAGTCTGGCCTTAAGCCTTTCAACAGTACCATCTGCATTTCTTTTAATTTTAAAGATCCATTTGGATCCTATAGCTCTCTTGTCTATAGGGAGACCTATGAGTTCCCAAGTTCCATTCTTTTTCAATGCTTCTCTTTCTTTGCCCATGGCCTCAACCCAGGTTGGGTGTTTCTTGACCTCTCCATAGTGAACAGGTTCCTTGTCAATACTCAGATTAGCCATAAAGGTAATGATGTCTGCATCAACACTTTTCACAGTGCTGCAAACATAATCATTCTGCCACAATGGTACTTTCCTAAGTCTTGTAGATCTCCTAACCTCTTCCTCAGCAATGTAATTTGTGTTCTCTTTCTCCTCTCCTTTATGATCCACCACACTAGTGTCATTGTCATGCACCACCTGAGGCAATGTCGCTCTCCCTTCTGCACCTTTATGAAGGAAAGGGAAATCATTAATGAAGAAAACCACATCTCTTGAAACCCTCAACTTCTGTGTGGACAGATCAAACAAATGAAACCCCTTCTTCCCAGTCACATACCCCAAGAACACACACTTGCTGCTTATATGATCAAATTCTGTTTTTGAAGGACTTATATTTGCCACATAGGCCAGGCATCCAAAAGGCTTTAATCTGTGATATTCAGGTTGTTTAAGATATAACCTTTCAAAAGGTGATTTCCAATTCAACATTGATGAGGGCAGTCTACTAATAATATAGACTGATGTGTGCACAGAAAATGGCCAAAATTTGAGAGGCAAATTAGACTGAAACAAGATTGCTCTAGCCACTTCCAGTAAATGCCTGTGTTTCCTCTCAACAACCCAGCGTGTTGAGGGGAATACACACAACTGGTTTCATGCAAAATTCCCTTCTTGTTAAAAAAGTCCTGTAAATCACTAAACATAAATTCTTTCACATTATCTGATCTAACCTTCTTTACTCTAACTCTGAACTGAGTTTTGGCCATGGTGCATATCCCTTAATCAGTTTTTCAGCTTGTGATTTATGCTTCATCATAAAGACCGAGGTTCTTCTAGTAAAGTCATCAACAATGGTGAGGAAAAAAGGTGTATGTGTCAATGACTCCTCTCTATAAAGTCCCCAAATATCAACATGTACAAGTTCAAAGCATCTTTCTATTTGTATGCTGCTATTTGGAAAAGGCAGTCTATGTTGTTTGGATTTAAAGCATGTACCACAAGAGTGGAGCTTATTCTTACCATCCTCATTGCAATCTTTAGCTAAAAAATCCAAATGTCGCATGGTGGAAAAGAATGCATGTCCAAGACTGTAATTCCCCATTTAATTATGAATTTTTCGAGTATTATTTATTGTTATTGTTATTATTATTCTTGATATTAATTGTCTAATTTATATTAATTGTCAAATTGTCTAATTGTTTTAATTGTTTATTATATATATATATATTATTGTGTGTAATTAATATTTATATGTAGCCGGTTTATTTTATGTAATTATCCGGATGTCGTGCGATCGAACCGAGCCATTTTTATTTAGGTAAGTAGAATCGAGATAAACCGTGCCTTGCTCTCGCGCGCCCCGCACCCATGGCCAAACCCGCGGCACGCCCGAAGCCCTACCCAACTCTCTCTCTCTCTCTCTCTCTCTCTCTCTCTCTCTCTCTTGTATTTCTTCTGGCCATTTTTGGCAAGTGTTATCTCAAAACCTAAGTGTATATCCTTCCGATCGAGCGTACCGCGACCAGGAGCCCAGCGATCACCCCGACGATCACCCCGGCGAGCCTCGATCACCCCTGTCCTCGCTTGCCGCTGCAACTCCGAGCAAGTAAGCCGAGGTACACACTTCCCTGCGAGTCTCGCACGCCGCCGAGCCCCGTTGTGCGCACCAGCAGCCTTCCTCGGCCATCTCTCTACTCCGTTACATGATATTTCTCGAGAACGGTACTCGACGACTCGAACTCCATATGTTAATGTGTGATTATTGATAATTTGATGGGCTTTTATTAGTAACCATGATAGGGCTTCTTATTTTATGTATTTTTGTGAAGCATGTGTTTATATTTATGTGTTGGTGTTGAAGTCTTGATCAAGCACGCTTATGGTGAAGCCCTCCCCATGTCTATATGTGTGTTTTTGGAATATGTGGTGCTAGAATGCTATTATCGATGTAAAAGAGTTACATATGAAATGTAGTTCAGCCTTTTAGCTTTCAGTGGGCTTTAGAATTTTGCAATTCGATTTAAATTGAGGGAGATATAATTTTTACAAAAAGATTGTGCAAGCAGTTTTTATGTGAACCCAGTCGGATGTTTATATTAAATGTTTGGCCAGTTTTCGATATCTGAATGTGCTCATATGTAAAAGTGGTATTCATGAACTATGTAGCCTTATGTGTCAGCTTCCTGGTAGTTTTTGAATCAAGTCAAACGCATGTCTGAAGCATGAGATATCCTAATTTTACTGAGGATCTGTAGGTTGTGTAATCTTATTCTCGGACTGCAACCATGTTTCGAATGTATGATGAATTAACTATGACCAAATGCCCTTATTTGCCATCCATGTCTTCATGAAAGTTGTAGCCTTACTTCTTAGCTATCTGTTGATTTTAAAATCTTGTCATTTAGAGGTCTGTAGCATAAGTTATATGACAATTACTGAAGTTCTGTAAGCATGAAATTTCAGCTTTCTGACTGCAACTCGACTATGAATGTTTGTTAAATTATCTCTTGGTAAATGACCTTATTTGTTATTGATGTCTTCACGAGAGTTGTAGATGCATACCTTAGGATTCATATGCAACTAGAATCATGTTTATATGAAAAATGTGTTGCAGGTTATGTTGAGTTTAAAATTGTTGCACGGGTTAAGTTTTGAAAAACTTATGTTGTGCTTTCGAAAATAGAATTACTTGGTAAATGCATGCTTATGTGACTTATATGAACTGAGTTGAATGAAGTGAATATTATTGTATTTGTATGTTGTTTTATTGTTGGGATAGTCATTTATAGGACTATCATGGTTATGTAGGTGTTTGAGGAGTCGAACCCTCGACTTACGTACCTGCCTTGTGTGTGATTTCTCAACTTCGGTAACCAGGTGGATTGTTATTCTAAAATTTCTATGCCGTATGTGTTTATGTTTACGTTGGATTGATATGATCAATGTATGCATGTGAACCATGTATCGGCGTGAGCCTTCGACCGTCGGTACGGTTGTCCCCGTCGAGTTACGGTACGATGCCCTTGTGTGGCAGTCTCCCTAAGTCCCGGGTGGGCCATATTGGACTAAGTCACATGGCGTGTCTTCAATATGCGTGTCGAACTAAGTCACATGGCGTGCTTTCGACATGTACTCCTGCAGTCTGGTTGACGAGCTAAGTCACATGACGTGCCCTCGAACAGACCAACAGTAGTCTAATGATAGGTGTGTACAGATGAGTAATGTAAATTGATGTGTTGTGATTGAAGACATGACATGTTGAAAGATTTATGTGTTGGTGTTATATACTTAAGCTTTGCTTTAGTGGATATTACACTTGTTATT